TTAACATGACTTTACATAGCTAACGTTACCAGCATTATTAAAACGCCTGGTGTGCATGGAGCCTAAATGTTTTTTTTTCACTTGCAGTGGATTTTAACTGTAGGCTAAGCACAGACCAACCATAACATTAACATTGGTGCAATAAAAATTGGTCACGCTAAGACTCTGAACACATCACTGCCTTCAGTGGTAACTTGGGCTACTGGATTGGCTGCAGCATGGTCCCAGATGATCAGGATTGTGGCAGCCAAATTAAGGCTGATGTCACACGGGCAATTCTGCCACTAGAGACAAACTGCCAGTGGCAAAATTTCTAAAGACGTCTCTCTGTCCTTATGGAATAGTTCTCTCTGTAGCCAGATGCAGCAAGATCTTGACAAGAAAGGTCGCATACTAATGACATCATTCCTTATAATCCAGTTTATTTAAGATCTGTATTTTTAACAGTTATGACCAAGCCACACGCTGATGCATTTCACCCAGGTAGGGTGTAATCATAAAGATGCAGGGTGATGTCACTCTATTGCTGGCCCGAATGCCGCTGAATCTTGATTGCTAGCAACAGGAGCAACATTTCACTCAGCTACAGCAGTGATTCCATAAGGACAAACAGTCAGCCTTTTAGCAATCCTGCCACTAGCGATTTTGACACATTTTCAGTGGCAGGATCGCTTGTGGCAGAGTCACTCATCTGACATCAGTCTAAGAAGTTTTTTTAGTTGCAGTTTTGATTAGAGAATAAAGCCATTTTCATGGCATATTTTAAACAGTGCCCAGCATCAACAGTAATAAGGAACCTTGAAACATACTTTGCATCAGGATGCAGAGGCACTTGGCTATATACATGGACACTTTCCTTGTAAATATTCAGTGTATTACAGAGGCTCAATGTACTTAAGCAAATGCTAAAGTAGACCTTGTGCTCAACATGCAAAGCCTGCTTATTTAACTAGGACCCCCTTCCCTTTGCCAAGACTGCACAAAACCTAAAAAAGTGTGTAAAAAAGTTAGATAATATGTGTACCATGCCCTCCAAATTTCGCCTGCGGCGCCTAGACGAGGGGGAGACATCACTATCCTGGCAAGATCCTTTGGGAGTACTGAGTAGCCAAGATCTCATAAGAAGATACTATTGCACTGTGCTGGATGTAGGTGATGTCACTCCTCTTCAGTACAGAAGCTAAGTATTTGAGCTAATGTTTTCACCCACAGTTTCTTGTGCAGCATATTTTAAAGTGGGAAAGGTGCTCAGTGAATAAGCAGACCTTGATTGTAGTGTAAGGTCAGCTTTAGGCTCTCATTGTTGCCAGGCCTAGATTTATTTTTCCTGCTCTCCCTAGGCCCACAGCCTTGTTGTGCCTCCCTCCTACTCAGTTGCTAGTCTTAAAGTATCACTTGTTTTTTAAACTTTTGGATAGAGTGGCGAGGGATTAGAACATCTGTTGGATTTTTATTTTTGTCTGTGGCCCCCATTAGGGAGATTCACCCTCTCTAACTGTCCTGTTTACTGTTATCACCTAAAGTGAAAGTAAAAAAAAATCCCACATTTTGAGTTGTCAACAGAACAGTAATGGCAGGGAAATCGTCAAATAGGGATTCCCTTACTTTAAAGGGATTTCATTTTACTACCTGCTGTGACCATGGAACAACAAATTAATTAACATCTTCCTCATAGGACACTGATGGCAAAAAAAACCCTGATAAGGGTTATAACCAACCTCATAATAGATCAAAATTGAAAAAAGATTAGCCTTTAGTTATACTTTAACATCACAATAACAAGATCAGATGTCTTAGCCATCTAAGGAATACTGAGGCTGCTGAAAGAATCAGAATGCTGGCCCTGTATCAGTGCATCTAGAAAAGTAAGGCAAATGGTAAGCTTAAAAAATGGTTACGAGCTGTCAGCTTAATCTGCTAGCAGTTCAGTTCTTGGTGTATGGACCTAGAGCAGGTTTAACATACACTATTCCACCAACAACAGTGCTCAAATTATGCAATAATGAATACCCAACATCAGTCTGAAATGTTTTATTGTACACAGCAATGGGCTACTGATAGCAACATGTGGGTCTCTCTGTGTGCCTTCCTTGGCAAGCCAGTGTAGGCCGTGGCCTGTGTTGACTATGCAGAAATCCGGCACTGCTTGCTGGTTATGAAAGCATGACAAACACAAACTTTGAATTACTCCTATATTACAGTCAAGCACTTTTAAAGAATTTGTTTTCAGCACTGTTCTTGCTAATCAAAACAAGCATACCTGTTCATCTGCACATCCTCACATAGTTGGAAACCGCCCTGCCATGGTAGAAAGGATTTTCCTTTAGGGAGACACAAATTAATCTCGTGGGAGAGCAAAACTACATCCTTTGCTGATACTGTGGTTGTGCCTGTAAAACCGCCCAACTGTTGTCCCATTTTCCTCAAGGATCTGGGGAAAAATAAGATCAGAGCTCAGAGCAGAAATTTAGCTTCAGTCCTGTGTGAAATATTAGAGTTCTCTGTGGCTCAGAAACTATGCTAGAAAATTGAGAAAATGTTTAGACACAATTGTACACATTTTGACAGATTATAATAAATTAAGTCTTAGCACATACCTTCTGAAATAGTTACTTTTTTGTAACTTTTGACTGATCGAACTAAAAATGTACTGGAGGACCTCACTCTTTATGAATGTTGAATTGTGGGCATGCAAGGTATAAATCGATTGTAATCGTGTGTAAAAACTACAGGACTGTTTTTGGGTAGCCCATATCCAATCAGGTTTTCAAACCTATCTCTTACTAGACCAATGACAGCTTGAATCAGATTATTTAGTATGGGGAACTCGCATATGGAATGAACATGAACCTCACAGCAGAGGGCAGTGGAGTCAGATGCTCCTGCTGTTGTCAGTCAAACTTCTTTGAGGAGAGAACGGGGGTGTGGTTTACCAGCACTGTGTGTAACTATAGATGCACACATCCACCTCAGGGCCTAGTGGGAGTGCACATGCATGGGTGCCGTCCTCATACCGGTCTTGCTACAGGAGGCACCTAAAGGAGGGAGGATTGGACAGCACTGGCAGGGACTACGAAAAGAAGAGGTAAGCATCCTTTCTGCGCAATATTGTTATACAGAGTGGGTAAGTATAATATCTTTTTAATTAACTACAACATGCCTTTTAGTATCAATTTACCTTTTATAGAACATAATGTTTTGCAGGACATAAAGGTTGCTTACAAGACTTGAGCTACCCAATTTTTATAAGCAATAAGTATAGCATGCTTTCCACAATGCAGTTTGGGGCCTCTGCAGCTTACTGATAGACCACTGACATTGCATAGGCAGGTGACTTGGGGTTCGTCCTCAGCACAGACAATCTGAGGAAATCAGAGGTAGCTAATTGCAGGTGCCTGGATTTTGGACCCAAATTTCAAAAGAGTTTAAATGCAATCCATGGATCACTGTTGGGTTGTGTTTAGTATTGGCTGTTACGGTTAGTTTCATCTGGGAAAAGAAGAGACTGGTGTAGAAAAGTGTACATTCACAGCAGACAATCAGATTTCATCTCTTATTTTCTTGGGTAGGTTAGAAGATGAAAGCCTGCATAATAATGGTTATTATGGGCAAAGCCTTCACATATTTTCCCTTCAGTTTTCCTAAAGGATAAGTTCATCTTTTTTACAAAAAATAATAAATGCACATTTTTTTTTTTGCAGGTAAAAAATGTGCATTTATTATTTTTTTGTTTCTGGAGCTTGCAAAGCATTGCACCAGCGATCAGCAGATCGCTGGTGACATGCAGGTCACCTGCAGACCTGTCAATATATCTGCTTGCCTCTATAGGATACTGACAGGAAGAATCAACTACCACGGTACTCCACAGCAAAGGCTGTTGGGACTTGTAGTTCATTCACAGAACACTGTGAATGTGTGACGCAGCCGTGTTTTTTCACATTGTGACAGCTAGCAGGAAGGAGTAGATCATTCGCTAGCTGTCACAATGAGGAGTGGGGAGGAGTGGGGGACGGTTCGTTCGTAACATGTTAAATGTTACACCCTGAATATACAGTTAGGGCCATATATATTTGGACACAGACACAATTTTAGATTTTTTCAGGTGTTTACCAAAACATATTCAAGCTATAGTTATATAATGGATATGGAGACTTCTCAACAAAATATTAAAAAATAAACATTTTATTTATGATTATATTCAATTGTCCAATTACTTTTGGTCCCTTGAAAAAGGGGTGATGGCTACTCTTAAGAGCTGTAATTCCTAAACCCTTCCTCCAATTTGGAAAGAGAGTGTGCACTATCAGCCCATATCCATTATATAACTATAGCTTGAATATGTTTTGGTAAATACCTGAAAAAATCTAAAATTGTGCCTGTGTCAAAATATATATGGACCTAACTATAGGTGTAACATGTAACGAAAAGAAAACTTATCCTTTAACTCAGCCCTGTTTTATGCTGAACTGAACTAGTTGGGTAAATATCACTTTAGCCTACAGAACAGGTGAGAGCACTTGTTATAAGACATGAAAATGTTACATTTTACCTGAAAATATGTATATATTTTTTCCTCATTTCATAGTATTACCTAATTTTAATGTGTTAATAGTTGTCCTATAAATGATACTTTTTAATTTTTCTGTTATAATGTTTCATTTTAAGTAATATAAGAGCTAGACTTTCCATATGTCAGTATACTTTAAACTCTGAGTATGTCAGACATATGCATTTTGTTCCTGCTGAATCTACCAGAAATTTGAGCCCCTCCATCCCAGCAGAGATGGAGATTGTCTTTATGTTCTAAGCACATGCAGTGCTACATATAAAGATTAAATCTAGCTCCAATGCCTCAGGTCACTGAAATAATGAGACATTTTTTCTGACTTACACCTTTTTTATTACACCAATATTGCCAGGCAAAATGATGGCCTAACACTCAGCACCTGTCCTGATTATTTCTTTTATTCTCATGCCTAAAACTTTTGTTCTCTTGCCAGCTACACGGGTATTTAGAGAGCGAGCCACTCACCCTCCAGCTGTTCATCGGCACGGCAGACGATCGCCTGCTGCGACCTCATGCATTCTATCAAGTCCATCGGATCACTGGCAAGACCGTTTCGACGACAAGCCATGAGACCATCATCTCCAACACCAAAGTTTTGGAAATCCCACTGCTGCCTGAGAACAATATGAAAGCTATGTAAGCTTCTAGCCACCTGCTTACCATATATTTTCTTGTTACTGTGCCTGCCAAAGGGTTGACTGAGTGAATGCTTTATTATATAGATGGCAGAACCTGTCCAGCCTTTTTAACAAAGTAAAACACCTTAATTTAGCATATACAGTGTATAAAAAATGCTAAATGTTCTTAATATTCCATTCTTGACATCTCATGCACACAAATTGATGTTTTTGATCGGAGTGACTTTAAGACGGAAGGTGCCGTGAAGGAAACATTGACACATCATTCCAAAAATAAAAAAAAAAAAAAAAAATTGGGTTCACATATAATGGTGTTTAATCACTCGCTGACTAAAGCAGTACAAAAACTATCTGCAGTGTTTGACATTTTCAATTAAGACTGACATTTTTTTATCCACCGTTGAAGGCATATAGGGAAGAGTTTATACAGGCTTTAGCATGTGTCAAAAAGCAGAGTTGGAATAATGGGGAAAAAAAAGTCAGTGTCACACATCAGGTAAAACAACCATAGTGTGAAGCAATATTAACAGAACCTATAAGTGACTGTACAGAAAAACAAGATTTTACAGGTAGGTAGCCATTATTTCAGCGGCTGACGCCAGAGCTTCCTAGTTTGATATCCTGACTGCACCTCCTCACGTCCTCGTAAGACATACTGTTGGTCAGATAAACCACTCATAGATCACTAGTAAGACTTAGGAGACAAAAGGGGAGGAAGCAAGGTTAGCAATCCAGGAGACAATGAAGCTGATTTACAAAAAGCAAGTAAGCTGTTCACTTTGCAAAGGACTTTTAGCCTAAAGATAACTAAAAATACTAATGGTGTCAGTGGGAACTTACCTAAGAGGCACAAATTGCTCATTGCTCAAGGAACCCTCAGCAACCTCTCGAGGAACCCTGGGGTTCCATGGAACCTTAGTTGAGAAATCGTGATCTAACCATGTGCAAGCAAAAATACTGTTTATGCTTGCCTATGATTGTGATGAGTGGCCTATGATTGTGATGAGTGGCCCTATGATTCTGAGACCCCAGAACACTTGGAGATACCTGCTACTGAGTTCCAGAAAGTGTTTTTATATCAAGGTTGATTTCAAGCAGAACTATACCTTTTAATGCCATATATAAAAATTGAACAACAACAACTGCCTACCAGGCCTACCATTTTATAAAATATAAAATTTTATTTTATATATAAAGTACACGGTCAGTCAAAAACTAACTGTACTTAAATCTATTCCCACCCCCATTCTAAGCCTATTCTATCTATTCTGTGAAAGGAAAGATCTATATACTTACCTATTTTGAGGGTTCTCTGATCCTGTCACATGATCGGTCCCTGCGCTGGCTTCAGTGTAGGAGGAGGAGAGGCAGCCATCATTGTCCAGACTCTGAAGCTGTTGCCGGCAGTCTCTCCTCTTCACTGAAATTGGCCGCTGGGGTGATCATTTGACATGACCGAAATGCCCTCAGCATAGGTAAATGTACAGATCTTTCCTTTGGGTAGATAGCATTAGCTTAGAATGAGGGTGGGAGTAGTTTCAAGTATAGAGATTCACTGAATTTCCACTTGAAGTTTGTACTGTTTTTAATATAAGAGATGACTCTTTAACTATAACTTTCAATTTTTTTCATAAACAAACAAAAATGGTCTCTAAACCTTCCCAATGTGCACTGCTTCTCTTTAAGTTGCCATACCTACATTGCCAGTCTGGTTAAAAGGAACCGGTCAGGATAGAAATATGGAAGATGCCCCTGCTGTAAGCTCTGATTCTGTTGTTTTACAAGTCACTTACTTAGAAAAAGTATGCAGGTTAGGAGTTCTGACTTCACTGGATGCATATTTGTTGTGGGTCAGAGACTGACTAAGCAGTGAAGCATGGATAAGTATGACAGTTCTGAGGCTTATACCTTTAAAGACATGTCAACACTGGTAGCTCTCATATGTTTGTACTGACATGTTCCCTTTAATGTGTTCTTGCAAGCCTTTACTATGCACAGGAGTATTCCTCAATTATATGCAGATTCTTATGGCAACTACCAACTAAAAAAAGTGCAAGGGCTAGGTGAAACAGCAAACTGAAGCATGAAATGAAAAAAAAGAAAAGAAATTTAATATGATTAAGAAAATGATAATATATTACACAGGCTTTAAACCTTAAAACAACATTTCTGACAGTGGACTGCAATCGTCCAGAGTTTTTGAACCCATGTGACTGTGTTTCTTTTTATAAATCACATCTCAGTTACACAGCTGTAAATATCCACTTCAGCCTCAGCATTCACTTTATAGCGTGACACTTATTGGATCTTGTAGTTTGAAGTGCACAGCTTTTTCAAGCATGCAATTAAACTTCTCTGGGGAGGTAAAAGAAAAAAAAGTGTTATTGCTGTTGGTTTGGAAAGTGCTACATTTATTTGTTGCTACAATGAAAGTACACATTCACCAATTAGTTTAAATACATACAGTTACCATAGCTTGGGTTGTGTTTAAAAGTATAGCAGACACTAGGCTGGAATTGTGTATTTATTGATGTTAGTAGCAAACTCAAACCTGAATATTGTTTCTAGTTTTAGCACTCATGAACCCTTGTGTCATTATTCCTTTTTCTTTTAGGTGTAAGTGCATGTATTAAAACATCAAGCAATGTTCATAAGCAGACTATCTACGAAGTAATTAGCCATAGTAAATTACCAGGGTTCAGAGCAGACAAAATAGAGACAAAACTGGAATGTTCAGGTTTCCTTAACTAGTTGTACATAGTAAATCTAAAGGATATTGCATAGAAATTTTACAATCTGATAGCAACATGTATGGACAGCTTAAGGTTGGAAAGTCAACTTGACATGGCCAAATTGAGCTTTCACAAATTTTCCCAAAGACTTGTCGCTACAAAGGTGTGTAATTTTCACCATGATTTAAAAAAAATGGGTATACTTTAGTTCACGGTTTATGGATATTGGTGATATATCTTTCGGGCATGGCAATAAAATGTTATCAGTGCACTAAGGACTGTAAATGGTCATGTATAATTGAAAGCTTAAATTATGTTTGGCTGATGTACTTTTCAGTATTCCAAAATAAAAGGTGGTTCAGTGTAGGCTTCATCCACACCAAACCATATGTAGATGTGATTAGGCCATAAAAACTGTAAATAAACCAATTAGAATCAAAAAGTTTCAGAATACTAAATATTGCTAAATACACGTAAAGTGATTGTAAAGGCTGGATTTTTTATATTAAAATGCCAAACAGGTTTATACTTTCCTGCTCTGTGCAATAGTTTTGCACAGAGCAGCCCTGAACCTCCTCTTCTGGGGTCCCCCGCCGGCACTCCAGGCTCCTGCTCTTTTCTGTGTTCCCCCATAGCAAGTTGCTTGCTATGAGGGTACATCTGCATGCCCGCTTCCAAGCAAGGCTGTTTATCACCCGCAATGTGGCATGGCTTGCCCTCCTGCTCTCTCCTCACAGCATTTGATTGACAGCAGCAGGAGCCATTGGCTCACGCTGCTGCCCAAGTCCCTGGGAGAAAAGGAAGAGAGGAGAGAAAAGACCTGAAGCCAGGAAAGTGCAGGATTGCTGACAGGCTCAGGTAAGTGTTTGGGGGGGAGGGGTAGTGGGGTGTTTTTTTTTTTTTCCTTCATGCAGGGAATGCATTACAGTAAAAAACACCCATACTTTAGAACCACCTTAAATGTTTTTTCCCCCAGAATTCTTGCCTTATCAGTAGATCAACAGTAAAATAGAATTTAGTTTTTTGCCCTATTTTTACTTTTTATTGCCTATTCCTGATTAGCAGATCAGTCCAATCTGACATATCTTTTTCACTACAAATTCTTGAAAATCTAATTGGTGAAGATGCGTACTTGGATATGGTGAACCAGGATTTTACTGGGATAACCAAGAAACCTTTTACTTGGGGAAGGTGAAAATTTCAAACGCCTGTAGGGGAGTAGTGTATCTAAATCCTCTGAATGTGTTTGATTTTTTTTAATGTCTCATTCGCTCAACCTGAGACATTCTTTTAGAAGTAATATTACAAATAGCTTTAAGTATGAAAAATGATTTGAGTTTCAGATATCTAAGTAGTTGAAACTGAATCCATTTGCAAATCCAACACAAATAACCATTTTTTGCTCTCCCACATATGTACAAATAATTAGGGGAGACTTGAGAAAAAGGTCCCGTGTCACCCTCGTCTTTTGAGATGACAAATTCCTGACTTTAGCAGGAAATATAGTGCATGCTCGCTTGGTGAACACAGAGGCCCTGACATAGAAAAACAAATCAGTCATATTTTTGCTGTTAGTAGTAAAATTATTAACTGAAAGATTTCTGACAGCATGCACTCAGCATTGATAATATCATATCCCCCTCGTGACTTGAGGTACAACATAGTTCCTTCATGAAGAAACTCTGTACCAGCTTAGAAAAAAGTTTTGTGCATACTCCAAGTCTTGCTTTTGGTATCCTGTAATGTGAAACAGTTTTAAGGGACAAAAATGTGCTTTGAATTTTTACAACAGTTTTAAACATTTAAAAGAAAACACCAAATTGCACTTTTGCCATTTATATTGTATCTAAACCCAAAGACAAATGTTTAATATAGTGCACCTTATCAATTCTTGGATGCGGTGCCTGCATTTGTTTTCTTTTCAGGCTTTTTTTCCCTTTATTTTCACCTGGTAATCCTAAAACTAACAGGTTTCTGGTTCCTGTATGGCCACACTTACTCACTCAACTGTATCTGTGGAGGGAGCCATGGTTGTTCCCAGGTTTTTTTTTTCAGCAGGAACGTGGAGGAGTGCAATTGCAGCACCTCCAGCATGAATGTATGTAATGGAAATGGGTGCTGGTGTGTGCTGAAGGGTCCGTTGATGCTGGCTGCTGGGGGATCTATTGTTGCTGGAGGGGATCTCTTTTTGCATAGGGGTCTTTTGTTGCTGGGGAGGCCTATTGTTGCTGGTGGGGGGGAACGGCCTTATGTTGCTGGGGGGGTCAGTAGTTGCTGGGAGGGATCTACTATTGAGGGAGAGGTCTATTGATGCTGGCTGCGGGGAGATCTGTTCTTGCTGCTGAGAGTCTGTCATTGCTGGGGTGGTATTTTGTTGTGAGGGTCCATTGTTGCTGAGGGAGTCTATTCTTGTGGGGGCAGATAAATTGTTGTGGGGTCTATTGTTGCTGGGGGGTGTCCATTGTTGCTGGATGCCAGGGATCTACAGTAGTTTACTACTTTTTCTTGTTATTAACAAATTCCATATAAATAACTTAGCATCACAAAATGATACTTGGTTCTATATTCTGAAAAAGAGGAGGTGAAAAATAAACTAAGGCAATAATTAAATTTTTTTTTCTTAGGTTCAGTTCTCTTTTAATAAATGTAACAGAACACTTGTTTTCCATATATGGGTGTTCAAATGAAGCTAAAAACTCAAAGTGATCACGAAAATGGTTGTTCAGGAACAATCTCATGGTCAGTGCAATTGATTTGACCCTGTTCTCCTTCTCTCACCTCCCTTCTCCATTGACATGAACACAAATGGTCAACCAAACCAGACATTCTTGCTTGTAGAGAGTTGTGCTGTGACAGGTGCCAGGGGGTGGGCAGAGCATGCCTGCAATGCCAACTGCCCTCCAATGTTTTTGTTCATTTATGTAAACTGCTATTCAGTAATGTCTGTAGTGGAGAGCTAACATGTTTTGTATAGCTAAAATGAAACAAGGTAACTGCAATAGGTGCCTTTCTCAGAGACAGCAGTGCTTGAAGCGCTTTAGAGGTCTGTTACAAGTTCTCTAACATTTAATAATGCAATTAGTTTGAACTTGAAAACCACAGTTGTTCATCTTCTGATGAGTATAGAATGTTACATGTACAAAAGAAACAGTGTTGGGTACACTTGGTCGGTGTTAAAAACCAAGGACATTACCATGAAGAAACACTTCTGGGAATAAAGCGTGAAGCTGTAGTAGAAATTTAATTGCAATAAATTATGTTTGGGGTCTCATCACCAAAATCAGTGACATCCTCCTTTCTATACCCAAAGAACCGTTCCCAATATATAGAGCTCGAGAAATGAAGGTCAGGTCTCGGAGGTCTAGGTAATGGATCTTTGTTCAAGAGTTTAGGAAGTGATGACTGTCATCACTTGATAGAATTATTATAAAAAAGCTGTTCATTCCTGGTTACATCAAAAATTACAACAATGCTTTTTTTCAGTCTGCTTCCTTTAATTCAGCCATAGTTACATAGCCTAATGTTGCATACAGTACAAATAGTTTTAAATTGCTTGGGATATGCCAATAGATGTCATGCAGCAGAAATAGAATTTTTAGGGTGTAATCTAGCAAACTCCTAACACTATCAATTTCTTTTTGAACAGTATTGACTGTGCAGGTATACTGAAGCTGCGCAATTCTGACATTGAGTTGCGAAAAGGGGAAACTGACATTGGAAGAAAGAACACTAGGGTGCGTCTGGTGTTCCGTGTTCACATTCCACAACCCAACGGGAGAACGCTGACACTGCAAGTGGCATCCAATCCAATTGAGTGCTGTGAGTCATTGCAGTTTCAAAGTATATCAGATATCTGTGCCATAAAATCTAATGTCTATGTATTCAAATTGCAATTACACACCCAGGGATCTGTTTGGGTTGTTATCTACAGCTTTGTCCATCCTGGATGACATTGACATCTTTTTCAGTTTCTTTTCTATTCAACACCTATAAATTTATCTCCGGCTAAATAGTGGGACTTTACATACCAGTAACTGGCATATACAGTACCTGTGTTTATTTTGCTGTTTAGCAGCTGTAAAAGTTCCAAGAAAGTTTTGAGAACTGATTCTCTAAACAGACCAAATCAATAATGTGCCAGGCTCAAGTTGCAGGTGAATCACAAACAAAAAGGGGGCTCTTCCATTAGCGTGAATGATAACTTGACACCTTCAAACCCTAAGGAATTCAGTATCACGTTTTGACTATTAGGGTTTTAAATAAATCAGGAAGGCCCTTTTATCATTACTGTGGGTGTTATATTTTACATTATTCCTATTTCTTATGGGAAACACTAGACAAAGTTTTTGGTTGTTGTTTTTAACGGAAATGGTTATCCCTAGATGCATATTTCTCAATATGTGCTCACTACGTGGAATTTATTGTTAATGAATGGAGAGAAGCCAGTATTATTTTATTGGAGCCTCCCTTTCCTTCACATATAGCCCTGTTTGTACATCCTGGTTGTAAACCATTCAGTCATTGTAATACCTAAATATTTTCCAGGGAAAACACCATTAGGCACAGGAAATAATCATATTCTATAATGAATGCTGGATTTGCCACTGTTACAGTAAAAATTGCCAAACTATAATCTTTATACAAGCATAATCTATAAACAATATAGTTAATGATATGGAATGGTAAAGGCACATTTTACTGTTTTTCTATTTAACCCTGTTTTTTTTGGGGGGGGGGGGGTTACCTGTGCTCTGCAAATCCGCCTTTACGACGAACTATAGTAGCACTTATTTCTGCAGATAATACATTATACAGTGCTGTTAGGTAACTTACACATTGTCATTATCAGTGTTTTCTGCTTTGCAAACTCTTCCTTTAGTCTAGTATATATAGTGCATGTATAAGCTATGAAAATCATTATTATTATACAGGATTTATATAGCACCAACAGTTTGTGCAGCGCTTTACAAAATGAAGGTAGACATTACAGTTACTATACAATTTGGTACAAGAGGAAACAGCTTGTTACAACTCCAGTTTTAATTAGAAAAAAAAACAAAACAAAACACCTGACCGCATATATACTCTGCAGGTATTCTAGAATGCTTTCATACCTAAGTGGGAAGAAGCTGCTTGCCAAATCACATGACTAGTCCCAGTGTTACTATTAGGAACATTTCGTGGCCCCAGCTTGCCTCAAGAAGCACAGATAAAGGTTATTGGGTCATGCACATCATTTTTGCTTTTTGCACTGCCTTATTTAAAAAGCTGACATTTTTCTATATGTTTGTGCTGCATGCATGCAATTTTGAACTAAGCCTTCCTATCATCATTGAGAACTTGGATGTACTTTGCTATGTTTTGAACAAGAATTATGAGTCTGGTATATAAAATGGATTCTTTACATTGCTATGTGCTTGTTTCCCCGATAGTGATAGCTTACAAAAACTACAAGCTGGCTAGTAACTGACCAAAGGCTTGTCAGGCTGCAAACTGCCAGCCTCAAATAACATGCATTGTGCACCCCATTCTGTAAGCATATCTATTGCATTGTGTCACCACTTCCCGAGCACTTGTGTATAATCTATATTAGGGATATTGCTATATTTACACAGGGCATTTGAAAAGCTGTTGAGTGATGCTTGTATTATATTTCACTTTCTTTGTAGCCCAGCGGTCTGCTCAGGAATTGCCTTTGGTAGAAAAACAAAGTATTGACAGCTTTCCAGTGATTGGAGGGAAGAAAATGGTTGTGAGTGGCCACAACTTCCATCAAGATTCCAAAGTCATTTTTGTTGAAAAAGCTCCAGGTAGGTCGTTTTTAGTTTGTTATCTGGCAATATATTGTCCTATAATTTAGATTTCAGTATTTTCTGTTAATCAATGCATATTTGTCACTTTTTCACATAGAGAGCCTAAAACATATAATGTGCATAGGTGTTAATTAGATGGCAGAAGGTGCCTCGTGCTCTAGGACATTGTTTCTCAACCTTTTTTATAGTCAAGGTGCCCTTTAAAATTATGCACCTCCCCCTTTCTAAAATGTACACTGTGTGCACAATAATAAGGCACGTGAATATTTTGGCCAAATCCTCATTTGTTATGCATATTGTCCAGCTCCAAGCTGTATAAACGTTAATGCATATTGCATTTAAGCATATTAGATGATGTGTATTTGTGTAATGAGGGAGGGTGTGGCTTAGGGAGATCAACACCCTATTTCAAGGTGTGCATAAATATTAAGTAGTTTTTTTTCTTCAGGCAAAATTGGCCAAAAAAAAAAAGAGATTTAACTGACTCCGAAAAGTCAAAAATGGTAAAAAGTCTTTCAGAGGGATGCAGCACTCTTGAAATTGCTAAGATATTGGGGTGTGATCACAGAACCATAAAACATTTTGATTAAAAAAGTCAACAGGGTTGAGAGAAACGTGTTGAGAAAAAAAGATGCAAATTAATTGCCAAAGAAGAATCAAACTTGAAGCTATCTTGCCTGGGCCAAGAAATATCTGAAGACAGACTTTTCAAAGGTTTTATAGAATGATGAGATGAGAGACTCTTGACGGACTAGATGGGTGGTCCCGTGGCTGGATCAGTAACGGGCACAGAGCTCCATTTCGACTCAGACACCAGCAAGGTGGAGGTGGGGTTCTGGCATGGGCTGGTATTATTACTGGTATTATCCACCTTGCTGGTGTCTGAGTCAAAGTAGAGCTGTGTGCTCGTTACTGATCCAGCCACGAGCCCATCCATCTGGTCCGTCAAGAGTCACTCTCATCTCATCAGTCCATAAAACCTTTGAAAAATCTGTCTTCAGATATTTCTTGGTTCAGTCTTGACGTATCAACTTATGTGTCTTATTCAGTGGTGGTTGGGTTTCAGCCTTCTTTACCTTGGCCATGTCTGAGCACTGAACACCCTGTACTTCTGAGCGCTCCAGGTAGGTTGCAGTTCTGGAATATGACAGCACTGGAGGATAATGACTTCCTGATAGCTTCAAAATTGATTCTTGGCAATTCATTTGCATCTTTTTTTTCTCAACACATTTCTTGCAACCCTGTGGATTAATTTCAACAAAACGGTTGATGGTTCTGTGATCACGCCCCAATACCTTAGCAATTTCAAGAGTGCTGCATCTCTCTGAAAGACTTTTTACCATTTTTTACTTTTCAGAGTCAGTTAAATCTCTCCCATTTTACCTGAGGAAAAAAAGTTGCCAAATAATTATGCACACCTTGATATAGGGCGTTGATCTCCTTAGGCCACACACTCCCTCATTAAACAAATACACATCACCTGATATGCTTAAATCCAATAAGCATTCAAGTTTATACAGCTTGGAGCTGGACAATATGAATAAAAATGAGGATTTGGTCAAAAAACTCACTTGCCTAATAATTGTGAACACAGTGTAAAAGACAAATAGTTTTACATAATGCAGTACCTTTGCACACTGGTAATAGCTAGTATTCCAGTGTTTCTCTTCTCCCTCAGTTTTTCTCCCTCATTCAGCCAACGTGACCCCAGTGCTAACGTAGAAGGGCAGGGGAAGGACAAACAAGGATGTCCTCAGGTGCCCGAGATATTCCCTATCAACCTATGATGCCATCAGTTGTTAGGGTGCTGGCAGCTGGCCCCCACTGTTCCCAAGGTTGTAATGCTGCACAGTACAAACCGATGGCTTTGTGTAACAAAAAGGCTGGCTTAGTCCACCCTCCAGCTTGTTGACAATTTTTGGGCAATTAGGTGCAATTTTTAGGCATTTTGCCAAGGTACCCTTGAAGAACCCATAGGGCACCCCAGGGTGCCACAGCACTCTGTTTGAGAAAGGTTGGTCAAGAATACATGTAGCCTTAAGCGGGCCATATATTGATCGAAATTCGGTCGGTTCAGCAGGGACCAGTTGAATTTAGATCCATGTACGGGCAGGCTTTAAAAACCAGCCTGTCGGATTTTTTTTACATGTGATGACTACCAGCGGCTATAGCCGCTAGCAGTAATTATTGTGCTTCCCGCCCGCCCCCCCCCCGACATGCAGAACACAATAGCACTGCAGGAGGCATTCACCGATAAGCACAGTTGAGCGATTCTCTTTCCTTCCATCCGTGGTGGAAGGAAAAAAAATTGATTAATCTTTTGGTTGCCTTACACATTAGTCATTACTTTGAATTTCTGTAAGGCAAATTCTGTAGGATGGTGCAAAAAGAGATCTTTATAAACTGAAATCCGATAACTAAAAGATTAATGTTTATTTTATTATGGGTTATTGCACTTACATTTTTTTCATTTTAATAATACAGTAAAACCTTAGCAACATGACAGATTTTTTAATTGCTTATTGATACTTATTGATAATTACCTCATGACTAAAATAACTCCCGAGCCTCTTTGACGTGTTATAGGACATACAGATGTTTCAGTACCCTCAATGAGACATCTGTGATTGGCCTAAGGACAAGTTATAAATTGCTTTTATCTGATGCATTTGTGTTGCTTCCTACTGCATATAGATAGATTGTTTCTTCTGCTAATCCTCTCTCAGATTCTGAAGTCTTGTGTCAGATTGCTGACATCATGTTCACATGAGCAGTACCTATTGGAGGAGAGCTTTGCTTGCTTAGTTGCAATTAGCACAATGCAGTATGTGGAGGTCAGGCTCTTCTCATGAATCATAGCACAAGATATCGTTTACACAATGCACATTACACAGATGATGATGTCTTGGAGATTATACTCTTAGGTCAATAAAGATAATTACCAGAAACTGTAATCACTGTTATCCTGTGGGTGGGGTCATGTGCATCCTATAGAATTTTAACACAAGTCATGAGAGCTGGTGGGAGGATTGTGAACGGAAGCCGATGAGAGCAAATGAAAGTGAGTGAAGGAAGTCTAAGAAAATGTTTTATTGGTTAAAAGGAACTTGTCAGGCAATGATGTGGTCTCTGGATCCTACTACACACCGTACTGCAGTGTCCAGTATATGTAACACTTGGCTATGCATTTACCATTTTCAGGGTCATTTGTCCACAGAACTCTGGGTTTCTGGAAACACAGCTATTATAGGTGGGTGGTTTCCAAATACTCTACTGCAATAGAAAACCCCAAGAGGACAGGCACAGTGTGGTTCCCCAAATGCATTTCGCTGCTCGATTTTCAAAATTTAAGGGGACTGTACCTTGTATTTGTAATGTTGTATATTATATATACACATAGTGTATACAATATTGCAATTTGTTATTAACTGCCATTGTGTACACTTAAGAAACCTACTGTACTGCAAATGTTGTGGAACTAAGAGTCCTATAAGGCATTGCAAAATTCTTGACAGCCACAGGCATGACAGAGACAGAGGCATGATGGGATTTGTAGTTTTACAGCTGGAGTGCCAAGGTTGTTGACCCATTGTGTACACTATCAGGCTTTTTTTCAATAAGACTACACACAATGCAGTGTGTAATATGTTATTACAACATTAGACTCGATTCATTGCAAGGATAAGGAGCTTTACTTTACTCACATGACTAATTTTACATTTCATTGGCCTACACTAGAATTGCACTGATTCTGTCCACCATTTCTAATTGCCCAATTGTGAGTTGGTCCTAAAAGTTGATATGAAGTGCAGAGAGGTGACTGCAGAAATCTGCAGCTGCTTTGAGTATCCTTAGCCTCACCTGTATGCTAGTACTTTCTAATCTAGAAAGGTTCAGCACTTCCTCTTAGTGTTAAATCTTGCCCACCTTTCACACATTGCTATTCTCTAGTGAGGCAGCCCTTTATAGTGATGGACTAGTAGGAATGTGTGGGGTCAGGGCTTATCACCAAGCTATAACACCACCTGTAAGTGCTGAAGCAACATCTGATAAGGATGCCCAGCATTCCAGTGAAGCAGAGGATATTGAAATATAGTGCAGTTGTTTACAGGCACTGCTGGGTGCCTACACTTCTTACCGTACAGCATCTAGTATTCTTAAAATGATGGAGGCTCTTTAAAGCTGTATTCAAGGGATGGTTAGAAATCTGTTCCCACATGCCCTGTGCATTCTTTATGTCAATGCAGTTATTTCCCCTAAAAGGAGTTGTGACCAGCAGGCTGTATTTTTCTTTCATTATTAATTCATTATGCATATTACTGGGTAGGTTCTAGACAAATGTACTTCTCTGTAATTAACACCTATCACCTATATGGGGAATGTTGTTACATCAGCCACATAGTCCTTGAAGGGGGATGAGACTGGAGTTTAATTGCTAGATTGTTGATTGAAACATGAAGAACAGCCCCAGTTGGTGAATTGATGGACAAAAAAAATAGGGTGAATCTAGGTAGGGCAGTAAAGATATGGCAGGCAATGCAGTGTACAATGCCTAATTTTCTTTTGTAGCTGGAGTTCAACTTTAAATGTAACACATTTGTAAAAAAAATTATGTTTTTTTTTTAAACTATAAAAGAAAACTTAAGTATAGCTTTAAAATCATTTTCACTGAGCCAACCTTACTTGAATACTGTAAGTAAATTCCAGCTTCCAATTCTAATTGTTGGATGTGAGCTTAAGAGTAGAGAATGTAGGCAGAAATGGCCCATAGCAGACAAGAGTAGTTTGTGAATAGGACTGACTTGAATTGTTAGCACATTCTTGCGAAAATAAGGGTGGCCAACAGGATTACCAGGCTAAATGTACATACGAGGGGCTTTTAGTCACACACGGGGAAAGCGCATTAGCTTCTGAGTTTACCCTCATTAACATACAGTGCAGAACCCAAGCGTTTAATGGGTTTTTAACCCTTTGTTGGGACACAAAGGGGTTGATTTACTAAAGGCAAATACAGTGAGGAACAGAAGCATTTGAACACCCTGCGATT